ATATTATTTGGTAATAAAATAAGAATGGAGTACTAATTTATGCTACAACACACTAAACCTTGAAAGATTATGCTAATGAAAAAAACCATTTATATAAAATGTCCAAAATAGGCAAATCTATAGACAGGAAGATTAGTGGTTGCCTGGGGCTGAGGTCCTGGGGTGAAGAAGATGGTAAATGACTGATAATGAGTGCAGAATTTCTTTTTGGGATAATGAAAATGTTCTAAATTGAGTCTAGTGATGTTGACACAACTCTGTCAACATACTGAAAACTACTGAGTTGTATACTTTCAATGAGTGAATTGTGTGATGTGTGAATTATATTTCAATAAAGCTATTTTAAAAGTCAGCATTACATAAAATAGTAAATCTTAAGAAATCTCATTACACACACACACCACTCACCCCTACTGCCCTGTACAAGTAACCAATTTATTTTACACCCTTCCAAGGAATCTTCATGCAAACTGAAATATGTGTATCCCCATTTCTTTCACAAAATATGCCCTGTTCTGCCACCTTCTTTCTTTCACTTAACATATCATTGGAGATCTCTCCATATCAGTACCTCAAGAATACCCTAATTCTTGTCTGTAGTTTCATAGTTTCCCCTCTGTGAACGTATCCATTCATTTAACCAGTTTCCCACTGATGCACACTTAGGCTGTTCCCAATCATTCGCTATCACCAAAAATGATGCAATGCTTTTAACCTGGTCTCATCAGATGACTCTCTGTTCCTGGACTGCCAGGAAGCACTGTGAGTAGCAGGAAGCAGTTAGAGTTAGTCAGAACTGAGTTTGCATCTGGCCCTGTCTGCTAACTAGCTATGTGACCTGGGAAGATTATCTGTACTTTCTGAGCCTTAATTTTCTCACTTATAAAGTGGTCAAAATCCCACCTACTTTATTAGGTTGCTTTTATTTTTATTTTTAAATATATTTTATTGATTTTTTACAGAGAGGAAGGGAGAGAGATAGAGAGTTAGAAACATCAATCAGCTGCCTCCTGCACATCTCCTACTGGGGATGTGCCTGCAACCAAGGTACATGCCCTTGACCGGAATCAAACCTGGGACCTTTCAGTCCTCAGGCCGACGCTCTATCCACTGAGCCAAACCGGTTTCGGGCTAGGTTGCTTTTAGAGTTAAGTAAGATAAGACAGATACCTTGTGACCAAGGTTGAAATAATTTGTGTGTCAAAAAGCATAAGGTTGGGGGGAAAAAAGAAGACAGAAGGTTGGTAATGGATTATAACAAACACATTGGGTGGATAAGAGAATCCAGAAGTCCAAGTGATAAAAAAAAAAAAAAAAAAAAAAGGAAGAAGAAGAGGAAAGCTGAAAGCTAACCGATCAGGAAAACACCAATAGATACCCATTGACCAAGGCAAGGATTATCAATACGTAGATGTTAAAACCATTGGATAAAAGTTGCAGCGGAACAGGATATCTAAACAAGCTCAAATGATAACCCCACAGATAATGTTATTAATTACAAACAGAAAACATTATCTTTACAATGCAGAGATCTGGCAACACCACCTACCCAAACGATCAAACCTCCCATACCAGTGATGTTACAAACTCACATTATGTGTCACCAAATATGATGCAAGGGAGGGATGCAACATTCCCTATGGGGAATTCTTACCACAAGTTTAACCTGAGTCTGATAGTGAGGGGGGAAAATCAGACAAATCCAACTTACAGTCTACAACAAGGCAACAGACTTGGAATCTTCAAAATTTCAATGTCATAATAGACAAAAAAAAAAAAAATAAGGCAGGGGTACTGTGATATGTTAAAGGAAACTAAAGAGACACAACTACGGTGTGTAATCCTTCTTTCCATCTTGGGTTCCAAAACAAAGGTTATAGCAACGTTGGAACGACTGGGAAAGTCTGAAAAATATTATTGTTTCAATGTAATGGTGTTGTGGTTACACAGGAGAATGTCCTTGTTCTTAAGAGATACATGCTCCAGTGTTTGGAGATAAAGTGTTGTCATGTCTACGACTCAGTTTCAAGTACTTTGGAATTGGGGGGGAAGAGGGCGGGAATGTGTGTGCATAGATAAAGAAAGCAAATGAATCTAGATGAAGGGTGCATGGGTGGTTGCTGTAATATTTTTGCAATTTTTCCATATGTTTGAAAATGTTCAAAATAAGTTGGGGGGAAATCAAATAAGACACGTAAGCCATCTAGTACCCAATAGATGCCATGACAGTTCACATCATGGCTTCAGCTAACTCAACAAATCTACAGAAAGCTCCTTCCCCCATGCGTCTAGGACTAGGTACAATGGCTCACGTTAAAGGAAAGGCCACCAGCCAGTCCTTACCTTCATGAAGTTTATATTTTTGATCAGAAGTTAAGGCAAAAACAGGAAGCAGCTGAAGAAGCAGTATGGGTTTTGGTTCCAGAAAAATCTACCTAGTACCTACATCTGCAAAAATTTTTAAGCTAGGTAACTTTAAAAAAACAAAACAAGTTACCTAACCTCACTAAGAATTATTTCCTCATTTATATGGAAAAACTGAACTCAAATCTTCTACCTAGGACAGCATACATAACACGCCATTGTGAAGCATCTCTTATTTTAGAGATTCTCTTTAAAAGATATTAGTCTCCTAGAATAAAAGTGGGGGAGAAGGAAAACTGGATGGGTCCACCTTTGTTTCCCTATCAGAACACCCAATGCAGGGCCTTGCATTTAGCTTATGCTCACAAATATTGGTTGAAGAAGTAATGAGAGGCTGTATGAGACAGATGCTTCTTAGGCTGCAAATTGCATTAAAGAAAATATCAAGAGGAACTGGCCCAGTCAGAGACAGCAGCACCTTCGCAAAAGCACATACATTTGCCAAAATCTTTTATACACGTTATCTCATTTGAGCCTCACAATAATCCCCATTTCATAGATGAAGAAACTGCAGCTTAAAAAGATAAATTACCCACTGAGCACACAACTCAAATGTGTGCTTGCTCCACTCAGACACAAAAGAAAGGGAATAACTGGCTAACAGAATGGAAATAATTCACAGCCTATGATCCTTACAATCTCTTCCTCAGGGTTTTTGCTCGGGCAGAGTGAGTCACCTGAACTCATACCTTTTTTACCAGAAAAATGCCGAAAACCTGCCCTCGGATTGCTTCTATTGATATTCAGAAAGAGAAACAATCAGGCCTTTTAACCACCTGCTTCAGATATTTAAAAAGTGAAGCTTCAATTCCCCTTTCTATTGTGGTTGTGTGACTGAGATGGAGCGGAACTAAGCAGAAGAGGTTATTTTCATCTCAAGATTGACGGTGTCCACATTTTAGTGAAGTGAACCATAACTCAAAAATAAAATTTCCTGCAGAATTTTCTGGGGAAAACTCTTGGCTGCTTTATTCTTTCAGTTCACTTTTTAAACATCATGCTGTGCTACAGCTTAGATAATGTGTTTTACTTTTCCAGGGGTTTCCATGTTATTTACATATCAACCTTATATTACAGCCATCTCAAAAACCAGCAGGAAGTCTGCAATTCCATTTTTGCCCACCTTCTGTCTACCCATCACAAGTTTCTTCCCTTAGTAAACGAGTTTAGCTCCAGTGGCTAAGTAACTTGACAAAGGTATATAGAAATGGCTCTCTCAAAGACCGTTAATAGGAATTCAATTGTCAAGGGACAATTAAAGCGGAACTGTTCATGCCACCTGACCCAGTATTTCTACCCTTAGAAAATGTATTCTACAAAAATAGTCCTACAAATTCATCAAAAAAAGATGCATATGCAAATATTCACTGCAGCAGTGCCCAACAGCCATTAAAATGGATAAATCAGAGCAACATGCAAATATGTGGGACAAATGCCCAAAATATATTAAGTTAAAGGAAGCAAGCAAAATATGTATGTATGTATTATACTAATATCATTAGCATATGTGTAGGAAAAAAATGACAGAGGAATATACATAAAAATCTCAACAGGGTGAAATTAAGGGGAACTTTTCTTATGTAGTTCATTGTGTATTTCTATAATAAATTTTGATTAATCTTATATCTAGAATTTTTAAAAAATAAAATTAACGTATATATTTATGTGCCCTTCCTCATCCTTTCCTCTTCACTTTGGAACCAGCTAGTTTGCAGCTCCACCTGCATTACTACTAATAATAATATCAAAGGTAGAATGCCAGCTGTAGAAGTCTGCATTCTTTTTTTAAATATGTTTTTACTGAGTTTAGAGAGAGAGAGAGGAAGGGAGAGGGATAGATAGAAACATTGATGAGAGAGAAACCTCAATTGGCTGCCTCCTGCACGCCTGCCACTGAAGATCAAGGCTGAAACCTGGGCATGTGTCCTGACCGGGAATCGAATAGCGACCTTTTTGGTTCATGGGTCAATGCCCAACCACTGAGCCACCCTGGGCAGGCAAAGTCTGCATCCTTATAGAATACTAGAGGCCCGGGGTGCACGAAATCGCACGTGGTTAGGATCCCCAGACCTAGCCTGGCCTCCGTTGCATGGCCTTTGCAGCCCTGCAACATTACGTGAAGCTACCGGCCCCAGGAACTCCACGATGCTCGCAGCCCCTCGACTGCTCCGTGAGGCTCCCTCCGTCCCTCAACTGCTCCGTGAAGCTTGCTGCCACCCCGCGAAGCTCGCCGCTGGACACTCTGCGAAACTCCCCCCGCCCCACGACTGCTTCGCGAAACTCACTGCCCCCTGGGTGACTGCTCCGCTAAGCTCATGGCCACCCAGCAAAGTAGCCCGCCACTGCCGCTCAACAGTCCCCAGTCCCGCCCAACCACCAGCCCCCCCCCTCCCCCCCCCCCCCCCCCCCCCCCCCGTCATGGTGAGCGGCTCAGGGGCCGGGGGAGGGGGTGGACCGAGAGGTGCTCCATGCACTTCATGGTGACTGGTCAACCGTTCGGTCGTGATGGCACCTATCTCTTTATATATATTAGGATATACAGGATCATGTTTAGAAAAGATACAAAGATCACTTACAGTGTCCCCCAACAAACGGTATTCCAGCACATAGGCTGATGAAGTACTTGTAGGGACCAAGAAAATCACTACCTTCTGAGCAGCCCTTGATGTCTTCTAGCTTTGCTGTAACAAAGACCAAGGCCATAAGATGTCAGGCTAAACAGAAGGTACCATTACCACATTCAAGAAAACTAACATTGTAACTGATTATCTAATCGGCAGCTCCCATTCAATTTCCCAAAATGTCCTTTATAGCTTTTTACGTCCAGGATCCAACCAAGGATTACATGTTGCATTTGGTTGTCACAACTTTTTAGTCTCCTTTAGTCTAGATCAGCCACCCACACATTTTGTTTTATTTCGTTTTGTTTGTCTTTCATGACATTGACATTTTCAAAGATCGCAGGCCAGCTGTTTTACAGTATGTCCCCCAATCTGGATTTCACTGATTATTTCTTCATGATTAGATTTAGGTCAAACATTTCTGGCAAGAATTCTACATCAATGATGTTGTATACTTTCCGTTGCATCAGGTTTTCTAGTTACACTAAGTATATTTTACTGGTTTTATCACTGTGGGCACTAAGCAAGCTTCAGCCAATAAATAAAATATTCAAAACAATAAATGCATTTAATGTTAAAAACAGCTACCATGAGCACCAGGCATAGTGCCAGACATTTAAAATATATTATCTGCCCTAGCCCAACTAGCTAGTTTGGCTCAGTGGATAGAGTATCAGCCTGCTGGCTGAAAGGTCCCAGGTTTGACTCCCATCAAGGGCACATGCCCAGGTTGCAAGCACAATCCCCAGTAGGGGGCATGCAGGAGGCGGCTGATCAATGATTCTCTCTCATCATTGATGTCTCTCTCTCTCTCCCCCTCTCTCTCTCTCCCTCTCCCTTCCTCTCTGAAAGCAATAAAAATACATTTAAAAAATACATTATCTCATTTAACCCTCACAACAATCTTGTGAAGAAACAAAGGTTCGAAGAAGTTAAGTAACTTGCCCAAGGACACACATGTGTATGCACATGTGAACTCACACAGACACACTTTAACATATGATCTCAGGGGTTCATGTTCTTCCTGAGAATCCTCCATGGACAAGTTAAGAACCCCTGCCTTAGCCTACTCTTGCAGAGGCCTATCTAGTTTTAAAAGTTGGATTCCTATGAAGAAGAAACTGAAAATAAATTAGCTATGGTCCACATAAAATTCTTCCATACTTGGAAATGTTCTTATTTGGAGATGGGCCACATTTTCATCACAGCCAAGAATATAGGACAGTGGTTCCATGAGTTATTATAATATTGCCCTCATCGCCGGTTGGCTCAGTCGCTTAAAGCATCGTCCCCATATGCCAAGGTTGCGGGTTCAATTCCTGGTCAGGGCATATGCCTGAGTTGCAGGCTCAATCCCCAGTTGGGGGTGTGCAGGAGGCAGCTGGTCAATGATTCTCTCTCATCATTGATATTTCTATCTCTCTCTTCCTTCCTCTCTGAAATAAATAAAATATAGATATGTATTTTTAAATAAAAATTTAAAAATAAATTTACTCTATATTTATTTTTAAAAATCAATCAATGAATACATAAATAAGTGGAACGACAAATTGATGTTTTAAAAATTATAATATTGCCCTAACTGGTTTGGCTCAGTGGATAGAGCATCGGCCTGGGGATTGAAGGGTCCCAGGTTCGATTCCCTTCAAGGGCATGTACCTCGGTTGCGGGCACATCCCCAGTAGGAGGCGTGCAGGAGGCAGCTGATTGATGTTTCTCTCTCATCGATGTTTCTAACTCTCTATCCCTCTCCCTCTCTCTCTGTAAAAAATTAATAAAATATATTTTAAAAAATTATAATACTGTGTTTTTATTGTTTGCCTTCTTTAAAATTTTTTTATATATTTCTTTATTGATTTCAGAGAAGAAGGGAGAGAGAGAGAGAGATAGAAACATCAATGATGAGAGAGAATCATTGATCGGCTGCCTCCTGCAGGCCCCCAATTGGGGATCGAGCCCGCAACCCAGGCATGTGCCCTTGGTTAGAATCGAAGCTTGGACCCTTCAGTTCACAGGTTGATGCTCTATCCACTGAGCCAATCCAGCTAGGGCTATTGTTTGTCTTCTTTAAACCATTCTCCAACAAAGTAAGAAAATAAAGAAAATGTAAAAAAAGAAATTATAAAGCTAAATATATTCTTAATTTTTAAATTATGCTCTTCCTACAGCTTTTGGTATTAAATGTCCTTTATGAGATACAAGTCAAAGGGGGCATTAAAAAAATAACTACTATCAACCACTCACCCCACATTATATCTTATTTTTTAAAACTCTACATATCTATAAAATTCAAAAGTCTAAGACCCATTGATTTAGCGAACTATATACAGTTAACATTATTTCTGAGAAACTAACTTGAATAAAGGAAGTGAAGATCAAAAGGAAACCAGATTTGAAATATTTCTGAATTTCCCCAAATTCATCCACAAAACATCTCAAAGGCTTCAGATCTCAGGAATACATGTTAATGGACTTGTTAAAAACATTTCACATTTGACATTTGCATTACTAATTGCTCTCTTTCAATATTTTGATATTTCCTGCTTTTGAATGGACCCTTAGTAACCTAGGATAGTTCACTCAATCAACAAATATTCAGACTCCCTAATTTATGCAAGGTACTCTATTAGGTGCCTGGGGACACAGTCTAGAGCAGCGGTTCTCAACCTGTGGGTCGCGACCCCTTTGGGGGTTGAATGACCCTTTCACAGGGGTCGCCTAAGACCATCGGAAAACACATATATAATTACATACTGTTTTTGTGATTAATCACTATGCTTTAATTATGTTCAATGTGTAACAATGAAATTGGGGGTCACCACAACATGAGGAACTGTATTAAAGGGTTGCAGCATTAGGAAGGTTGAGAACCACTGGTCTAGAGAGTTCTTTCTTACCTCATGTCAAAGATCAAATGTCACACGCCACTGTAGACACAATCCCTCCACCCAGGAAAGAAGAATAAAAGCATCTCTTGGGGCTGTGCTCTTCTATCGAGGCCTACATACCTCTCTGTATGTGGTTATTTGTCTTTCTCCCTCAACTCTCCCAAAGCAAACACTATCTTATCAGTGCTATCTTCCTAGCACAGTGCACATATAGCTGGAGATCAGTATAAATTCGTGGAATACATATATTTTACAGATGAGAAAAATAAAGGTCAGAAAAAGAATATGACATGTCCAACATCATACAGCTAATAAATAAGTAGAACCCGGTCTTAGAAAGAGCTCTCACCAGAGCTCTCGTCTATTCCACCATGCCACATCATACATGCGGACAGGGTGAGAGAAAGATCTTAGATGTCTTCCTGGAACTTCAAACTCAACATGTCCAAAAGTCACTCCTTGAAAAAAAGCAAACAAAAATCTGGTCCCCATCCAGTGTTCTCATTCTCTATACATGACATCCTTAGTGGCTGAAGAAAAAACTCAAGTTAACTTGACTCTCTTCTCCCTATCCTCACATCCAGTCAATTAATAATCTTATCAATTATAATCTTCAAACTTTGTGTCTCTCTCATCTCATCCCTTCTCTCCAAGCCCTCTGCCACCACCCTGGATCCAAGCCACCTTCATTATTTACGTAGACAACAAAAATGACTTACTACTTGGTCACACATTCTGTTTGGCCAATTCTCTCCAATCTCTTCTTCCCTTAACAGCCACAGTGATGTTTTTAATATCTTTCTACATATTACATTGAACCAACTACATATGTAATTGAACCTCCCATTACCATCCTAAAGTATTTGCACTCACTCAAGTCTCTTGAAATGTCACTTTCTACTGGAAACTTTCCCTGACTCCTCCGCACAAGGGGAGAGCACCAGTTAGGCACTCCCGTTCCACCTTGTAATACACCCCCCTTGTCAGTAACATTCATCACACTTGCAATAACGTGTTTAATGATTGTCTCCCTATTAGAATATAAACTCCATGAGGGCAAGAGAAGCTTCTCTTTTCCCTGATGTATCCACAGACCTTAGAACACAGTAGCTGCTCAATTAATATTTATTGTCAGGATGATAGGCTGGGCCCAGATTGTAGCAGGCCAAGTAAACCAAGGGGGGAGGATCATTATCCCTTTGTAAAGATATAAACTAAAATAGAAAGAACTGCATAGTTATTCAAGAGCACAGAAATAGCATTTCTCCTCCCTAAAACACTAAAAAACGTGGTTGGGAAAGGGAGCATCCTAGAAGAAGAATACTAGAACTGAGAAGGTGGTATAGAGAGGTCTAGGATGACAGCTTCTGAAACTGCCTGTCATACTAGTTGCTTCTAGATAATTAGACATTGGACTTTCCATGCCTAGAGAAGCACTCATGTTAAACAAACAAGCATAACTCCCACCACACTCTTCTTCTAAAGAGGGGGAAATAAAATAACAAACTTTGTTTCTAAAATAACAAATTAGAAACCACAGGAGAGAAAGATGTCTTTGCTCAAGGTGTCCCCCCTGGATAATGCTCCTCAGCAATCAACAGAGAAGGGGGGGGGGGGGGCGTGCGGAGACAGACTTCCCACCACTTACTGGAACAGGGATAAGGAGGGGGAAAAGTATTAAATGAGGCAAAGCCATTTGAGATCTATTTATTCCTTGGGAATCATGAGAACATTCCAGGTAAAGCATTTTAAAACCTTGCTAACCCATTGGCAGTTCTTAATAAAGGTAGCAATACAGTTGGCATGAGCTCTACTGCAACATGTCACTGTCCACATGCTGCCACAGAAGCCACAAACCAGGCCAAGGGGTCAGGCTCGTTGTTGCTCATCCTGCCAAGCACCAACTGAAAGAAAGGGAAAGGACAAAGCCTCCTCAAAGAGAACTCTGTGGAATAAATATGCACACTGCCCCCATGTAGCCTGGAGTTTCTGGGTAGGGTAGAGAATGGGCGGGGAGGGTATTCAGAGACTGGAAAGAAACTTAAAGAAATAGATGTGATATACCGGTGATGAGAGGGAGATTCTGAAACACAGAGGAAAAATGAGAATTGCAAATGGAGACATGGGAAAAGAAACTGAACGAACTTCGAGTGATATAGAAGGGTCAGGAAAGGAAGGTACAGGGGAAACGAGTAAGGTGCCCCCAAAAAGCAATAGAGAAACACAAAGCAGACAGTAAGCAAGAGAGAGGCAAAGCCAGGCAGCCCATCTTTTCCCAAATCCAAAAGCTGGTCACTGCATTCCAATAAATCACTCTACTACAAAGCCCATACAATGGATTGTCCTTTGCATTCAGTAACAAGCAGCATTAAATGAAGCATCACCCAGCTGTAACTTTGGAGATCTAAGGATCAGAATTAAAAACGAACAAAATCAATTCAGCAGCAGAAGATAACCAGTAAAGACTTCCCCCCCAATGCCTGGCTTGACTATAAAAAGGTTTGGCATTTTAGAGTTAAGCGTAAAGTGCCTGGCATTTCTCCTTCTTTTGACATTCTAAGAGGGGGGTGTGGTTGACCCCAGGTCTATTCATTTCCAAGGGTGTAGATCTCTCAGCTAAGACTGGCCCCATCTGTTCTTGAGTCAGCCAGTTGTTTATGTCAAAGTAACATATTTATTGCACTAATCATCCTAATTACTTACAAGAAGAGAGCCAACATCATACAAGACAGAACGCTTTCTGTCCTGTTAAATGTGTTGGTTCCTTTAAGAAGAAAACAAAACAAAATAAACAAACAAAAAATAACACTACTATGCTCCTTGGTTTCCTTGGCCAGGATCACTCTTCGGTGGGTACCTTTCAGTAATGGCAAATGAAGGTTAACTGTGCTTCTAACTTTCCCTTCCCTAACGCGTTACAATGAACCCAGGTTTCCTTAATGATCCCTTCTCCAAACCGTTATTCGTGCCTGGTGACTGTGCCTCAGGAAACAGCAGCTCATTATGGTACCGCTGCCAGTGGCAAGGAGCCTATTGCCATGTAATTTAAAACACTCACACAAGCACAAATCTGTCAGCTCCACTCCCAAACAATCCTGAAATCCTGCAATAGGGAAAAGAACGCTGAGCGAAACGGCTGCCTCCCGCAGCCAAAGAGAAGCTTCCCGAGACACGTGAAACATTTCTGACTGGCACGGAGTGCACCATTAAAGGACACTGTCACCTCAAATCCGCAAAAAAGGCGAGGCAAGCGAAATAGACACACATGCAAAATAGAGCCCCACAAAACTTAGCCCACTGAGAAGCAGCACGCTCCGCTTACAAGCGAAGAGCGTGTGCTCGCCCAAGCGACACAGAAATGTTCTAAAGTAGTGCGAGCACATTAAATCACTGTCTCCATTTCTCCCCACGCATCGCCCCTTCCCACTCAAACCTCAGCACGCGGGCCGTTGGTGACAGGACTGCAGTGGTCCCCCACCTCAGCCTTCTTCTGATTCTCCAAGAGCACTTCCCAACATCCTCCGAGCCCAGCCCCCTCTCTCGGCTTCAGGAAGGTTGAGGGGAGTTGCGACTGGAGAATTGGCAGGCATCGGTCCTCCCGCGGGGGAAGGTTGCCGGAGTTGTTCTGCACAGTGACCCAAATTGCACAGAGCTTTCCGCTTAGCAGCGCTGGCGATCACCTCCCTAATCCTTCCCCCGAACCCCCATCTTCCCAAAAGAAAAACCTTGAGAATTAAGCGGGAGGAATAACTTGGTAGAACCATTTGAATAAATCACTTCAACTCACCTGGTTTGGGATATTTCTCCCCACCCCAGGCATAAACAGAAATGATATGCGAACGAGTCACGCACGCAACGTAAGGTGGTGCGAAGCCTTAGTCCAAGGGCTGGAGTCAGTCCCTGCCCTGATGCCGCTGCTACTCTTAGCTCAGCTGGAGCGAGCGGCAATCACAAGCCCAGCAGCAGCAGGGGGGTGGATAGACCGTAGCACAATGAATGCAGTGGGGTTTTTGCAATGACATCATCCCTCTGTCCAAAAGGCCCCAATAGCCATGCTCAGGAGCGCGGCATTCTGGGAATTGTAGTCTTCTTCAACCCTGTTCGGAATCTTGAGGCTGCTGTCGGAACTACAATGCCCAGAATGCACCGAGGTCGGACGCACCCAGAGCGAACTGAGGCAGCGAACGAATCTCGGCCGCCATATTGGGGGAGCCTGGCGATTCTGCGGAGCCGCAGAGGCTTTAGGAAGCGCGGGAGGCGAGTGGTGGAGCACTGGGGACGGTGAGGTGGAGGATAAGTCCGTAGGAGATCGGGGGCCGGAGTCTGGGAACCGGGAGGTGGAGGTTTCATCTGGAGACAGATGTAGGGCGGGCCTGGCTGGAGGCGGCTTCCAGAGGTCGAATGGGCCTCGTCCTCACGACTCTGCGGGGCTTGCCTAGGCCCCCTACGCCTCTTGCTCCATTTTCTAAGGAAGATACTAAGGGAGTAGTTCACGTCTGGGCTCGGAGCATCATTTAGACCCTCTGACAGGACCGTCGGGGGGGGGGGGGGGTCGATATCTTTGTTGGGGTGCGGGGGCCCCGGACGGCGACCTTCTTGCCTGCGGTCGGAGGAGATTCCACCCACAGAGTTGGGCTGTCCCCTCCAGACGTATGTTTAACTTCTTAATTTATTTTCCTTACTCCTTCCAAAGGTTTTGGACCCTCGTTGGGTTTTCATGCAGAGTGATTTGCAAAAGGGTCTCAGGAAGTCGATGCTGGAAGGTAGACAAGCTGCAGAGGGTCGGACGGTGCTTCGGGGCGGACCGCGCTCTGGCCCCGCGGTTGAGGAAGGATAAGGAGCGGCCGAAAGGATGAGCACGCCCGGGTTAAAATGGCATCCTCACACCTGCCGGCAGCAGCGGGGAGGTGTGGAAGGGGGTATTATGACGGCGGGCGATCGTTTCCCGAGTAGCTCGGGTTCTTGGGTAAAACCCAGAGAGTGTTCGCCCAAATCCTGCGGAGATGGGATGCTCATTACTTACTTAGCACGGATCACCGACTGACTTAAGTGTGTGGCACTCCCTAATTACCACTGCTGAACAACTGATTTTTTAAACGAAGTAACTGAAATCAAAAATCACTGGTCCTGGAAGTGGTTTTGTCTAGGGCCTCGAATGACCTGCGTGTCAATGGTGTTACTAAAGCAATGCTGTGTGTTTATTTTTCAGAGCCTGTCTGCACTGTGGAAAGATGGGCGCCTTCTCTTCCTCCAGAGGGTGTCTGCAGGGTTAAAAATGCTGATGTACTCTATGCTGTTTGTCTTCCTCCGTTTTGCACCTCATTCTGAAAACAAAAGTAACTAGTTATTTTGGGTCAGTAAGGTAGGCACTTCACACTACTAGAAGTTAATAAAACTGTAGCTGGTAAACGAATTCTCTTATTAAAGAAAGGCTAGGCACGATGATTCCAGACGATGAACGCATGGTAGAAATAGTCTCTTCAATGTGAGCAGTTTTATGAGGAATGATCTTACATGTCACGTTTCCCGGGAACAAGTCACAAGATGAATGGCTTTGTTTTATTTTTAAACAAAGATAACACGTATTGGTCTCATTTATCTATGAATATAACAATGGGAAGGGCTCATGCAAATAATTCTGTTACTCAAGAATACCTTTGAAGGTAACGGTGGTAAGTATACAAAAAGGAACAAAGTGTTTACTATTTTATTTCTGACCTTCAGTATGACTATAGAAGTGTTTCAAGCTTAATAGATATAAAATAGATTAGACAGGTTTACATTTAGGCTTAATTTCAAAACTTCAATTATTTTTAGGAGTTGGTTATACAAAGTGTTTTTGTGTCTTATACAAAATTATTGTGACTTGCTCATTTATATTTCTTTAGGCAATAACCTCCTCAATTTGAGTTACTATGGAAGACAAATTTGTGGGGGGAAGAAACACCAACAAATTTCTTAGAAATATGTGAGAGTGAGACCTATGTAATGCACTGATTTCTGTAATTTGTCATGTGTTTGGGTAGTTTGAAGTTTTTCTAGCCTTATATCCAATGGACATCTAACCATGGAGAAATGAAATGAATCTAGTTGATAGCTACAGTAAGTAAGATTTCATGAGTTAACCCTTAAGTTTTTTGGGGGAGGGAGGATCTATACTATTTTTTTAGAAATTTCATTTACAAAATTAATATTTGAGGAGTCAGTGTTGTTAGCTTCTAAAACAATAACCTCAGTGTCCCAAAGAAAACACTGGGTTAGGAAAACTGAAAAGTGGAATTAGGACGGCCTTAAGTAGATACAGAAACCTACTCTTCTCATCACTCAAAAGAGAATTAGGGGGGATAAATGTGATGGAAAAAAATAAAATAGGATTAGTACATTGATTTTTATTATAATTATAGGTAGATCATTAAGTAGTATTGTATTGTCAATTGCTTAAAGAGCAAGGATTTTTTCCAACAGGGTTAAGTATCAGGATCACCTATAGAACTCGAAAAATACATAGTTATTGCCCACCCATCCCTGCCTAATTCTATAGGGTTGGAACTAATTATTGTGTATTTTTTAAATTATAGGTGACATGGTGGATATCTATAATACTGTAAACAGTATTGGCAAAGATTTTAGATTTATTACAAATTATACCCATAAATGAATTGTGATATATATAGATGAGGAAATCACCCAGGGATCAATTTATACTTGATAGTTGAGGAGAGAGAAAGAATACCAAAATATCTTGACTTACCTGGATATTTCTTAGAGTAAGGATTTAGTCTAATGCTAAGGAAGTAATAATAAGAGACACTTTTCGGTAAGAGTGTAATGCAATCACGAAATTATGGTAAAGCTATTCAGATATTTAAAAGAAGACTCTAGACAGGCAGAAGTCCCTAAGTTTTAAAAATTGTTGATTTAATCTTAGTACTCTTTTTTTAAAGGGAAGAATGATGATTTTTATTTTTTTTTACTATATTTTATTGATTTTTTTACAGAGAGGAAGGGAGAGGGATAGAGAGTTAGAAACATTGATGAGAAAGAAACATTGATCACCTGCCTCCTGCACACTCCCTACTGGGGATGTGCCTGCAACCAAGGTACATGCCCTTTGACCAGAATTGAACCTGGGACCCTTGAGTCGCAGGCTAATGCTCTATCCACTGAGCCAAACCGGTTAGGGCTTAGTACTCTTGATATTTGGGTGCAACATATGTAATATAGTATCTTCAAAAAAATAGATTTTTATTGCCCTAGCCCAGGGGTGGGCAAACTTTTTGACTCGAGGGCCGCAATGGGTTCTTAAACTGGACCGGAGGGCCAGAACAAAAGCATGGATGGAGTGTTTGAACTAATATAAATTCAAAGTAAACATCATTACATAAAAGGGTACGGTCTTTTTTTTTTTTTAGTTTTATTCATTTCAAACGGGCCAGATCCGGCCCGCGGGCCATAGTTTGCCCAAGGCTGCCCTAGCCGGTTTGGTTCAGTGGATAGAGCATGGGTACACGGACTGAAGGATCTCGAGTTTGATTCCAGTCAAGAGCAGGTACCTTGGTTGCAGGCTCAATCCCTGGCCCCTGTCAGGGTGTGTATGGGTGGCAACTAATTGATGTGTCTCTCACATCGATGTTTCTCTGTCTCCTCCTCCCTTCCACTATCTCTAAAAATCAATGGGAACATATCCTCAGGTGACAATATGATTTCAGAGAAGGAGAGAAATAGAAACATCAATGATGAGAGAATCATTGATTGGCTGCATTCTACACACTTGCTATTGGGGGTGGAGCTGTAACCTGGGCGTCTGCCCTGAGCAGGAATCCAAACTGTGACCTCCTGGTTCATACTCAACCACTGAGCCACACTGGCCGGGTATAGTATCTTTTTTGCTCCAAATTTTACTCCGTTCCTAAGTTTGGAATCTTCACATTCAAAATCCTGTAGCATTCTTTGATCTATATCTGCTAAAGAATAAAGATAAGACTCGAGAGAACAGCATTTGAAATGTTTAAAGCAGCCATAAGATTCACACAGGGTCTGTCTTTAGAGGAAGGAGGTCTTCTTGGAGATGGTAAATGAAGACTGACTTTAGAGTTTTGGAGAATATTAGTGACCTCTGGCTTCCTACTGCTTCAGTTTGAAATCTGTCTTGAATGCCTTGCACAGTATCACAGAAATTAGCAACATTCTTTGCCTCGGTGATAATAGCCTCAGGGTGTGGGAGAGGATTAAACAGAATAATCTATATAAAGCATTTAGCCTAGGCCTTGGGAACAGATAAGTTTGTGTGTGTGTGTGTGTGTGTTTACATTTTTAGGAAGTAGCCCCGGAGTAGTTAGGTGTGTGTTCACATTTTTAGGAAGTAGCCCCAGAGTAGTTAGGATCAAGATACCTTTTCAGGCCTCACCTTAGGTGGAGTTGAATGTTTTCTGAAGTGTACATTTCTATAAGCGGACACAAATGAGCAATACCGTACAGGGTTCAGCATTTGGAGTTTCACTCATTCTGTAAACTTTTTAGTATTTCACATTTTAAACATTTTACTTTGAGTTAATATTCAGGAAAAGAAAATATATTTTCTAGTCTTGTTTAGTTGACCCACTGTTGTATTTGTAGCAAATTGGCATAATTTTAGCTTCAGGCTTAATATGCAACTAAAGGTAAATGCAGTAAATATCCCAAAGTCAAGATTTGAAATCTAAATGCCTGTAGTTAATGATTAACCAGAAAAGTCTGCCCTCTATTCTGTGGTTTTCTTTCTTTTTGTAGGTTTCGATGATTGAAAACATTTATTTTTAAGAATTAAGTATATGAACATGAACTTAATCAAATATAAATATATCCCTGAATATATCCATTTAATAATAAACTCACTAGGTGATTCTTCTCCACCTAATTTTACTTGAAAACACCAAGGTAAGATAATTTACCAAAGTCAGGCCTCTTAAGTGTAGCCCCCTCTTTTGTGTTCCTAATTCAGTCTTCTTTCCATTGTGCTCGGTACATCTTATTTTTGTTGAAATTTCAAGACAGTTACCAATTTTTTGTTGTTAATCCTCACCCAAGGATATGTTTTCCATTGATTTTTAGGTGGTGGGGGGGGGGGGCCGGGGGCGGGGAGAGAAACGATGTGAGAGACACATTGATTGGTTGCTTCCTGAGGCCAGGGAGCAACCTAAATATGTGCCCTTGACCAGGAATCAGACCCTCAACCTTTGGTGCTCTGGCCAATACTATACACAGACACACTGGCCAGGCAAATGCCAAATATTTTTTAATGTTTTTTTGTACATATATATCCAGTGAAGAATGTAATCCAACCACATGAACAAGTATTGCTTAACCAAGGTGTATCATAGTTTTCTTAGGGAAATGAGCAAGTTATATGATCCATGTCTTTAAGGCATTTGATTAAAAATATTTTTGGATAAGGAACCCTACGGTACTCTTATAGACATTCAAAGTATTAATATTTGGAGAGTGCCGTTTAACCAGTTGTAAATCCATTCTTTTTTTTTTTTGTATATATATTTTTTATTCCTTTCAGAAAGGGAGAGGGAGAGAGATAGAAACATCAGTGATGAGAGAAATCACTGATTGGCTGCCTCCTGCATGCCCCATACTGGGGATCAAGCCCACAACCTGAGCATGTGCCCTTGACCAGAATCGAGCCTGGGACCCTTCAGTCCGCAGGCCGATGCTCTATCCACTGAGCCAAATCAGCTAGGGCCATTTCATTCTTTAAGTATGGAGTAATTATCAGGTACAAGGCTCAGGATACAATGAAGACTATGATCCTTCAGACCATTAGACTCAACCTTTTTAGTGTCGTTATCAAAAGAAATTTTTAAAGAACAGTATGTTGGGTTACAAAGGGAGCCAATATTGAAATATCAAAAATTGAAATTCGTGGTATGCTTTATTAACTCATTAAGATCTAGCACTGGCTGTAATTTCAACATTGAACATAAAATACTTCAAGTTGTCAACATTTTCTGTGGACACTACTCTGTTACCTACATTCAAATTTTATTTTATTTGAAGTTATTAAAAATAGAGATATAATAAAAATAGAGATGTAATTTTTCCCATCCAAGTTCATGGACCTCCTGAATTCTGTGGCCCTCTGATGCACAGCCCTGTTTTAAATTTTTAATGACAGGAACTTTCTCTTTTTCACTGTTGCATGTCAGACCTGATTAAGAACTTCAGAGACCTGCTCACTGAAAAACTTGTGATGCCTTGCTTCTATTTCAAAGTCAAATTATACCACAAAGTGGATTTAAGGAAGTTCTCATATTTCTCATGGTGGAGACAGACACTTTTTAGGACATACCTCCTTTTGTTTTATTAGGAACAGGCAGGGAAAGTGGCTGCTTTACTATTGTCTCAAAGTGTGTGTTTAGTATCCAAGCTTGTCTGTATCCACTATACTTGGTACATAGTAAAAGCTCAATAACAGTAGGATGAATGAATGGACCTTTGACATAAGAGGTTCACAGTTTTGAAAACATCGGGTACAACATGAAAGGGAATACTAGAATAAGGACTAAGTGCTTTATTTGCTGTATTAAATGAACAGTTTGCAGGGGTTGTTTGTAAATCACTGTGTCCTAGACAGAGTTAAAAGATAGGGCGAACATCTTCGAGTGGTCCCACTGGTGTGTAAGCTCCATGAGGTAAGTAAGGTGTATGTGTTTTCATTATAGCTGGTGGTACTACAAAAGCCCAGGAAAGTGCCTGGCACACCCAACAAGTTTATCTTCACCTAATCAGCCTCAATTCTGGTACCTCCCTAGACACTGCTCAAAACATTCCAGCATTAACCTACCTCCAGCTGTGGAAAGTAAGAAACCTCTTAGACATTCAATAAGTAAATGAGGTATTTTCTCCTTAATAGAAATCTAATAACTGCTACAAGTATATTTTTAGCTACCATTTTCATTCAACAATACCTTAGGTAAAAATCACCTCCATTTTTTAAAAAAATATATTTTTATTGATTTCAGAGAGAAGAGAGAGAGAGAGATGTCAGTGATGAGAATCATTAATCAGTTGCCTTCTGCAAGCCCCACGATGAGGACCGAGCCTGCAACCCGGGCATGTGCCCTGATCAGGAATCAAACCCTGACCTCTTGGTTCGTAGGTCAGCACTCAACCAGTTAGCCACACTGGCCTGGGTCACCTCCATTTTTAAATCAAGGCACAAATCTCAAGTTCACCAATTAGGAAGTAGAGGAATTAAGAATAGAACTCCCGCTCTGGCTGGGTAGCTCAGTTGGTTAGAGTGTCCTCCGAATACACGAAGGTTTCGAATTTGATCCCTTGTCAGGGCACATACAAAAATAACCAATGAATGTATAGATAGGTGGAGCAACAAAATGTTTTTCCTTCTAAAATCAATAACAAAAATTAAAAAGAGTAGAACCCAGGTTGTTGGCTTTCAAGATCTATATAAGAACTGCTACTAGTATCTTAGGAGAAACGAGAAAGTAAATGTCCCAGACTTAAAGTATCTCCCATTTGGCGGAAGACTTCTTTCCCCCCGCATTTCCCAAGGAAATAAAACAGCCATATGAAACAAAGACCATATGGTGAAACAAAAGTTCCATAACTATTTAAAGCAAGTTTTTAAAAATAGCTAAGCTGGAGTTCATCCTGCAATTTGCTCTGCCTTCACAGT